GGGCGTGGGCTCCTCGGGGGTGGTGTTTGCGGCCTCCTTGGGGGTGGTGGGCGTGGGCTCCTCGGGGGTGGTGTTTGCGGCCTCCTCGGGGGTGGTGGGTGCAGGCTTCTCAGGGGTGGTGGGCGCGGGCTTCTTGGGGGTTGTGTTTGCGGCCTCCTCAGGTATGGTGGGCTCAGGCTCCTCGGGGGTGGTGTTTGCGGCCTCCTTGGGGGTGGTGGGCTTGGGCTCCTCAGGGGTGGTGTTTGCGGCCTCTTTGGGGGTGGTGGGCGCGGGCTTCTTGGGGGTTGTGTTTGCGGCCTCCTCAGGTGTGGTGGGTGTGGGCTCCTCGGGGGTGGTGTTTGCGGCCTCCTTGGGGGTGGTGGGCGTGGGCTCCTTGGTGGTGGGCACGGGCTCCTTGGGAGGGGTGGGCACAGGCTCTTTGGGGGGGGTGGGTGCAGCCTCCTGGGGGGTGGTTATGAGCTCCTTGGGGTTGGTGGGTACAGGCTCCTTGGGAGTGGTGGTTATGGGCTTCTTGGTGGTGATCACAGGCTTCTTGGAGGTGGTCGCAGGTTCTTTAGTGGTGGTGGTTACTGGTTCCTTGGGGGTAGTGGGTACGGGGTCCTTGGAGGAGGTGGTCATGGACTCCTTGGAGGGGGTGGGAGCAGGCTCTTTGGAGGTTGTGGGAGCTGTCTTGGTGGTGGGTGGGGATTCCTTTGTGGTAGTGAGAGCAGAGGCTTTGGTTGTAGTTTCAGCTTTGAAAGTTGGTTTAGCAGGCACTTCAGATGTGGGTGCAAAATCTTCAGATGTTTTCTCTGCACTTTGTGTCTCTTTAACTGAAGTCGTATTCTCTTTTGTACGAGTTGAAGTCTGTTTATTTGTTGTAAGAGTCTCTTTAGTATTTACTGTTGTCTTTTTATCGGCTATTGAAGATGTCTCCTTGGATGTAACCTTAGCAGTGCTTGTAGTAGGATTAGGTGGAAGACTGGGTTTAGGACTTATTGGTTTTGCTGTCGTAATCTTGGGAGATGTAACTTTCTTGGGCTGGGTGGTAGAAATGTAAGGAGTTGGAGTGAGCTTGAAATCTCCATTATCCAGTCCACTTCCAGCTTCGTCTACAACTGGTGGTTCTGGTGTCAGTGTCTTTTTAGGAGTTCTTTTCTTGTTATCTTTTGCTACAGGGAGAAAAAAAATCTTGTCATTGTTTTTTGTCTTGAATAGTAATACACAGATCTCATCCTTGTCATTGATTTGCTCTGTGTCTCTAACCCCTAATATGTCCGTTAGTTTATTGTGAAATGGTAAATACTAAACCTATCTTATTGGGCTGTTCTAGGAGATAATTGAGATAAGGATGAAAAGCCCAAGTAAATCCCTGCATGCTAAATACATGGAAGCCAATGACAACTTTGAAAGTACTAACACAAATTCATCACTTTATATTAATGTTCTCTACTTTTGCCCCTCTTCTTCTTCCTCATTACCCAGTGCCCCTTCTTTCCTCCTGGAAACCTAGTTCTAATATTTCTGAATTTCTCTGCACTAGTTGTTTCTGAGGCCTCTCCAACTGTCCTGTGTGACTGCTTTAATCATCTCAGCCGTTGTACCCTGTTATTGTATGCATAGCTATTAGCTGTTCTCTTCCCTATGCCCACTCAGACATGGCAGGGCAAGGGGAAGTACAAAGGAGATTGGGATGCCATGGCAGCAAAGAGATGCTTTTTAACATGATTTCCCATAGCAGCTTTCTATAAGTGAACTGCAAAGCCTAAGGGGCACATCACTGAGGTGAATTCCATTTAGCAAACATCTATTGTATACAAGACTCTGGACCACTCAAAGGCTAATATCTGACGTCAGCTACAGAGAATACTTAAGAGGAAATCACAAGCTCCCAGGATAAAGAGCTCTTCATCAGTCCAGTATCATATTGCCTGGAAGAATAGAATATATTTTAGGATTTCAGGAAATAAGAGCAGAATGAAGGAAATCTCCTTTCAGGAGGTAATAGCCTACTTGGTAGTACATTATCTACTAGGAAAAAACCAACCAGATACGACATGCAATTTATTAGGAAAATAATAAAGAGAATCTAAAATACAGGTAAGAATAGTGCGTAGAGGCATATGAGAAATGAATTGATACTTGTAAAACAGCTCAAGCAGTGTATGTGTTTGTTAAAAAAAATAAAAAGGACTGGGTAAGGAAAAATGAAAACACACAAAGATAGACGAGGAAGAAGAAGAACAGTATCCAGTAAGAGGAATTGTAAAGGGAGATGATAATGAGCTTGTGCTATCCTGAGGCTCCACAGTCACTTCTACAGCATCTTCTTACCCTTTTTAAGAGTGGTTTTTAGTTGCTCAGTAGGAGTTTCCTGATGGAAGTATTCATTTGATTATCTTCTAAAATAATTTTTATAGTTATATGCCATCCCCAAATATTGAAATATCCTCAAATCATTCTAGCAACACCCATTATTTTTAAAAAAATTATTAACATGGCATTGATACAGTGTTTGATCTTTATCAATGCTCAAACCTTTGGGTTTCTTCTTTAATTCTGACTTAGCAGCTGAATTTTTGGAAGACTTGATTTTCCGAATACTCGAAGAGGAAGAGGAAGAGGAGGAGGAGGACTCTTGATTTTCAGAAACAGAGTGTTCTATAAATCAAATAAAAAGGTTGATCACACGAACTGTGATTTAAAGCAAAAAAAAAACTGAATACAACAAGAATTTCTGTTTACTGATCTACCAATATCTGTGTACTGCTATTATTTCATCAGTAATATGATCAACTGCCTTTTAGTTGTCAGTTAAAGCAAGGCACGTGAGTTGTTATAGCTACTAGCCAAATAACTTTCTCTTGACTTTCCTATATCAGTCAAAAGTTTCTCTCAAAATCTGTGCTGAACAGAATATAATGGACTTTTCTTCTTTTTTTTTTTTTACATGACAATTTTGATCTAGACCCATACTAGATTCAGTAAATAAGGGAAGAGTGTAAATACCTAAGGGTTGATAGTTTGGCTTAAATTTTGATTTTAAGCAAGTAAAGCTTTCTTTGAAAACAAACAACAAACAAAAACTATAATGAGCCTTTCATGACTCACAAGATCACCCTGCTCTCTGATATAAGTGATCCACCTACAGGTGATTTCTAAGAAATCCTCCTTTTGCCGCATCTGCCATCATCCTACCTTTTGTTATTTCCTCTGATTCTATAACTTTCTTAGTCTTCTTCTTGTTTGGTGATTTAGGTGAACGTTTGGTGGTTGATTTGATGGGGTGAGATGCTGCTGGAGCCGGAGGTACAGTCTTTGCAGATGGTGGTGATGTGGGGTTATGCACTGAGGCCAAGCAAGACAGTGGGTTAACATGTTGTTTATATTCATCAGCAAGTCTAACTATGACAGGCACAAAGGCATCTGGCTTCAGGAGTAGATGCTTGTGAAAACCAGCACAGCCAGGCTCCAAGACTTAAAACTTCTAAGCAATTAATTCTAAGGATATGTTGCTGTAAAATATCATTTCTCAAATTGTTGTGAATTATGACAGAGAGCAATGGCTCAAGAGTCAGAAGACCTGGATTCCAGTCTTAGGCCTGAGAGATTCAAATCATTGTGAGCTCGGTCAAATGAGCTAATCCCTCTTGAACTTGTGTGCAAAACTAGGTGTTTGTTCTAGATGCTTTCTGAAGGTGTTTGACAGCCTAAACTATACTATACTCTGTGAGCTAGATCCCTGTGATTATAAAAATAATACTGTATGTGAATGGCATGATATTCATGCTCTTGAGAAGAGGGCTGTAATACATTTTCCAATTAATTTAAATCAAATGATACTAACTTTTCATTTTTTTTTTAATTACAAAAGTTCTGCATGAATATTTTCCCATGTGAAAATTTTACACCTTCCCATTATGCTTTTCTTCAAAATGTGTTGCCCTCCACAAAGATAAATAGCTGTTAATGGTTTAGTGTGTGTCTCTTAAAACCATTTATCTCTTTTGACTAATTTTTCATGTTGAGAAGAAAAGACACGGGACATTTTTTGATAATTAGGAACCAGAAGAAAAGGAGAAGGACTTCTGGAAGATAAGAAAGCAGAGAACAATTGTCACTTTCAAGGTGGAGGAGAATTGTGCTAAGTCTTGCTGCTCCACTAAACATCTCAGATCTCTGTGGTCTCCATGAACTGACAGCTCTATCTCTCCCTCCCTCTGCCCATACCCAAGAAAAACGCCAAGAACCTCTATTTGAGAAACAGTTCTGCTAAGTACTAGCTAGTGATCTGAGGCAAAACAATTCACCTCTTGGGCTCTGTTTCCTCACCCACATTATGAAGAGATTGAACTGCTTTGGTTCCTTCAACTGTTGATGTGTTATGATTTCGAGTTATATAGAGATCCTATTTCAGCAATACAAACAACTAAGCAGTGAGACTCAAAATAATTTGATTGATATTTTTAAAAATATTGAAGCTCCAGGAACTTCCTTTTTTTCAGTTGTGACCAGACCCTCTCTGTGAGTTCTGTAAATGACATTGCCTGGCATTGCCTCCATCTATTTTTTTCTTTGAGTTCTATTTAAACTTCAGGTATCTGACAACACTGGGTAGCATAAAATGTTGTCTTCACTAAGACTCACTCTCAAAGCTTCATTATTCTGTAATCATATTTCCTTCTCACCTATCCCCTACCCCTGCCTAAAATAAATTTTTAACTTTTTGTCTCACAGCCAAAACCATTATCAGAGTAATGAGCAAATACGATCACTTATCCCAGGTCCCTCCAAAAGCTGTAGGAACTCTGAGCTCCGAGTTTTTGATTAGGAGGGTGTTGTCTCCATTTTTTTTTTTTTTTTTTTGAATGCTTTCCAATAATAAAAACATTCCTCAGTTATGCTGATTAACATTTTTCCACCCTATCTTTCTCCTCTGTGTCTAAAGAAGCAGGAGGTACAGGCTTGTTTAAATAAAATGATAACTACGCAAGCAATGCTTATTTTTCACTTTTACCTCCGTAAATATTCTTACTTTAAAAAAGCAGAGGTTGAGAACATTTAGTTTAAAAAAAAAAAAAAGATTAAGTATGTTTTAGCATCTTTTTTGTAAAGTTTGGAGGGTTTTGTTATAACACTGAAGGAGCTGTGGTGGCACAGTGCCTAAGGCATTTGACTGCCAACCAGAAGGTTGGCAGTTCAAACCCACCAGCCACTACATGGAAAGAAGATGGGGCACTCTACTTCCGTAAAGATTTACTACCTTGGAAACCCAGTGGGGGGTTCCTGTGAGTCAGAATCAACTTGATGGCAGTGGGTTTGTTGTTGTTGTTTGTTACACACTGAGTACTCAGTCAGAGCCTATAACCAGAAAAGGGAGATTTTAAAATGGGAATATCCTTTTTATTGAGTTTATGACACACAACAAGGAACCCTGATGGCTCAGTGTTTAAGTGCTTGGCTGCTAATAGAAAGGTCAGCAGTTCAAACCCATGAACTGCTCTGTAGGAGAAAGATGTGGCAGTCTGCTTCCATAAAGATTATAGTCTTGGAAACCCTATGGGACAGTTCTAATATGAATGTTGTTGTGTGCCGTCGAGTTGGCCCCGACTTATAGCGACCCCTCCTTGGGTTGCTGAGGCAGTATCACTACGGAGGTAGATTGCCCAACCTTCCTTCCGAGGAGTGGCTGGTGGGTTTGAACTGCCGGCCTTCTGGTTAGCAGTCAAGTGCCTTAGGCACTATGCTACCAGAGACCCTTCTAATATGAATAGGGAGTCAGAATCAACAGCAACAGAATGACACACAATCATTTGTACAGAGACTACTGTAGGAACTTTAGATAGGAAGGAAAATACAACTGCAGTTACAACTTAGTTATTTTGCCTATAAATTCAGTGCCTTAAACTGATTCATAAATTCCCTTGCTCAGCAAAGCTGAAGGTGTTGATGCTACCCTTAAATATATACTCAAACACAGACCAAAAGCACAGATAGCTCAGAGGACAGTTGACTTTGGAGTTAACACCATTAAGGTGAGACAAGAGACCATCAAGTGAATTGGTTACCATTGGCTTCACCTGAAATTGAACCATATCAGAACAATGAAAGCAAGGACATGCAATGCAGGCCCTGTCCTCTCTGCTTCTCAACCTGGGAACTCCCGTGCTTCTGGAGCCTGACCGAGCAAGGACTGCTGTTGGAAGAGGCTCTCCTGTAATTCATCTTCATGAAACAAGATTATTATGGAATAGCTTAAGTGTTAGTAAAATCAAGGCCTTAGATGGACTGCATGTTAGATATTATCAGTGAAGTAAGGTGGATGCACAGATCTGGGTGTACTGAGAGGCAGCAATTGATACTGTGATACTCACGTTCTTCACAGAAAGTCTTGTAATCGGGGCAGCACTTGCCATACTTCTTACATTCTGCGTCGCAATCACATTCTCTCCCTCGCATAAAAGACTCGAAGCAGCGCCCTTTACAGGAAAGCTCTACCCAGAGCAAAACAAAACATTATGGATTATTGATTATGCAGCAAAGCCCATGTATTGGTAGCCATTTCCTACCTTAAAGCTGACTAGTGTTACAAAAGTGCATTTCTAAGTCTTTTGCTTGGAATTTCAAGTACATCGTCCAGTGAAAAATGAATGGCATCCCATCTGGAGACAGTCCAGCTCAAAAAGGGGAAATTTTCTTGCCCTTCAGGGCACTAGGGGACAGCCCAGTGCATCCCACGTTATTTATGAATATGGACAAGGGAAAATTAAGGAATGCCTAAATAGTGAAGTAGCCTTCATAGGAAATCCCTCCATCTTCCTTATACTACAGCTTTGTAATAGATTAATATTAATCCAATGTTCAGATCCTAAAACAATATATTCCAACAAGTAGCCTTCATATAAATGGATCATCACTGTTGAGGCTTGAAAAGCCTTTATAATGTGAAGATCTTCATTACAACAAACTTGGCAAAGAGTTTGAAAGATTTCAGTCTAATCCCATGGCATGTACTATGTAAGAGAAGCCTACTCCTTTTAAAGAAAAAAAAATTGCTTAGAGGTACAGTGACTTACAAAGCCCTATTTGAAGTAATTACATTATGCAACATATATATTGTGCAAGGACATATTTATTGGCTTTGCATGCAAATTCTAAAACAAATATAACTTTTAAGAATTTTAATTATAATTTTCAAACATTGAATATGAAATGTTTCTATGTTAATCACAAGATGATTCCAAGTGTGTTTAAGTAAAATATCAATCATAATTTAAAATTCAGACCCTTCCAATTTTAACTGAAATATGGCCAAATATTGAACACTAATGCTTCACTAGTCTTTCTTAGTTACTTTAGAAACATGTTAATATATATAAAAAAAAAAAAGTCAAGTAGTTGACAGTCAAAATTATTTATATCTGTGGATTGTTTTGCTAAAACAGAACATTGAAAAGCCCTACCAGTAAACAATTAGATGTCTGATTGTTAGATAATTTCTCATTACTGTTTACTGGATGACTCTTGAGTCACAGTATTCAAGGCTCTGATACAGGGTGTCCCTGGTGGTGCAAACAGTTAACATGCTCAGCTGTTCACCAAAGGGTTGATGGTTCAAGTCCACCCTGAGGCATTTCAGAAGAACGTCCTGGCAATCTACTTCTGAGAAAGCCACCATTGAAAACCCTATGGAGCACAGTTATACTGACATACATATGGTCAGCATGAGGCAGAGTCAACTCAATGGCAATCGCTTTTACTGGTACCAGTTTATAATGGGACATTTTACTTGGAGATAATCAATACACCTTTGCAAGTGACAGAATTCCAGGCCTCCCCTCCACCTCTCCTAGTAATCACAAGCTTTGACACCATCCTAGGCACAGTGCATCGCAACATTTATGCAAGTGGAGGGAAAGACACTTAAGCAAAAGAAGTGAAGTAGTATGAAAAAACATTGCCAGGGGATACAAAGGGAACCTCACACACAGTGTGGCTTGCCAGAGGAGATGCCAGCTCAGGACTTACCCACAGTGCAGACTTTCTTGAAGTCAGGGCAGCACTCCATGTAGTATTGGCAGTTATAATCACAGTTGCAGGCAGCATCTCTAGAATACCCTTCCCCACATCTCCCTGCACAGCTTGATAAATCTAAAATTATACAATACTAGAGTAAACATGGCCAAATCGCTTTGCAGAAACGGCTCTATCTAATAAGGACAAAACCACTTGGTAAAGGGAGAATTTTATGGATTGGAAAACAGCTACAAGTCTAGCTGATCTTTAATGTGGCTTTGATCATGCTTTTTATTGTCACCAGACTGAGAAGACGAAAATCAGGCAAAGTAATGGCTTTGCATAAAGTAGGTGAGTGTCCTGGGGGAGGAAGGAGTAATGGCAGTTACTACTGATGCTGCTACTGGGGTGATTACTAATTGACATTTCTTGAGCCTCTCTGTGCTGGACACTGAGTCGTACTTCATCTCTCAACTCAAAACTCACTGCCATCTTGCCATTTCTGATTCACATCACTAGTGCTTATAAACTGTTTCCAGGAGAGCTTTACTAGCTTCTTTTAGAAAGCTGAAACAGAAATTTAAGTGACTTGCTCGAGGACATACAAATGATACAGAATTCTGGTTTATAGGTATTATAGGTCAATTGAAACCTATTAGTTACTCTTAGTGACTCCTTTTTCTCTCAGAAATGTTCTGATTTCAATGATAAATTATGTGGTCCTCCAAAGCAAACAGCCCAGCATTTATTTGAGCTCTCATAAATCTGATTCCAAAGACTATTTTTCCTACCCAATCACATTGTTTCTCATGCCTGATGATGAGGTTAGGCCAGAAGGAGCCCTGGTGGCCCAGTGGTTAAGGGCTCACTGCTAACAGGTGGTTCGAACCCACCGGCTGCTCTGTGGGAGAAAGATGTGGTAGTTTGTTTCTGTAAAGATACACAGCTTGGGAGACAGTTATACTCTGTTCCATAGGGGCACTGTGACTCAGAATTGATGGCAATGGATTGGGTTTGGGGGTTATGCCAGCACAGAGTGTACTCAATTTCCTCCTCCTCCTTTCATTGGCAGGAACAACTGGGTTCTTAAATTTGGAGTAAGTTAGAGTTTACAACCAATGCTAACGTGAGTTTGAAATTGATAACCTTTGAAATCTCATCGGGGCATCAATTTGAAGGTGATGAATAGTGCTATGCTGGGCAACAAACCGAATACAGAAGCATAATTATCAAACATGTCAAAATTATCTGGAAAATAACACCTTAAAAACCTCCCTGAGAGATAACCAGGGGATTATAACAATAAACTCCACCTCTGGACTAGTTAGCAGGTGCAGTGTTCTAAATCCACAGAGAGCCGTTGAAGCACACTGAAAAAATCCCAAAACAATGAGTCCAGAAAGGTTAAAGTCTTACTATGAAAATAAAACAATGATGATTAGGACAATTTTCAGAACTTTTTGCATACATATGTGCACAATACATATAAAAATGCATATATAGTGTATGTATATGAATACATATATTATATATCAAGAGAAAGGGAGAATGGTAAGAGGTTGAGGAGAAAGCAAGAGAAGCAGACAAGACAAAATAAAAACATTGTTCTTTTACAGGTGGCAAATTTCTGAAATAAGAAATCAATTATCTTTACCAGAAAAAGTTTATTTTCATAAATCAAATGGCCTCCTTTCATTGCCATTACTTTTAGCCACAAATTTTTATTTTGTTTATTTAAGGAAAGCAAAATCTTTTAGTGAATATTACAGAGGAAAAGGTAATCAGGAAATGTACCCAGAGGGTAAGACCTGTGGTCCTAGTCTGAGAGAGCTGAAGGCTCTGAAGACACTAGAGTGGTCATCAGACATCCTTTCATGCTTTTACCCATCTTTTCATAACTAAGCAACTCAAACTTTTAGTTATTTTACTGGAAATATTTGCTTTAACAATTTCACCATAACAATCATGAGCCTTCACTTTTCTTCCCTCAAACGTTGCTTATTAAATGAATAAAAAGAACAAAAAAGTCCAGACTTAGTATTATTGTCACTAATCAACCTAGATTGTATGCTACAAATTTTTGTCAATGTGTTTACAGTGAGTGTACACGTTTTCTAAATTGTGAACAAGAACTGTTCATCCAGAACTGCCTCTTTTCTGGAGAAGTGTAAATAGTTCAGAGTTTTATAATACAAAATGGCATTCACATCTGTGTGAGTCCACATCTGTGTAAGTCCTTATAAGAAAAAGCACTTTCAAGATTAATAAAATGTCATTGGAAACTCAGCAATTGTTTATTATGACATCATATCTACGTCTACATGATGCCAAAATAGGTTACTTCAAAATCATTTATTTTAAGTAAAAGACTAGTCAAATTTCTATTTCAACATGTAGACAAAAATCATATACTATTTAGATATTTTTCTTTTTCAGTTATTTTGATGGTATGAAAAAACATCGGTTTATCATGCAGGTGGTGTCTGTTATTTTTGAAACCATCAAGGAGAAAATGAGTGCCCAAGTCATTCTATACATAAAGCTGATTCTTTTTGAAAGATTCCATAATACAGAAGAAAAACAAAAACAGCTAGAATCCCCAAATGCTCATAACTGTGTGACATGTTTGACATGATTTTAAAGTTATAACTATTATACTAAAAACATATATATTTTTTAGAGATCAATTTTTTTTCTCATCATGAAAATCAAAACTGAATGATGAGTAACAATTGTTGAAAAGTATTTTTGATGGTGTAGGTACCTTGAGAAGAAACTTGTTGAATCAAGAAAACAGACAGCAGCGGCAGCAAGTAAACCGGAAGTATGTGCCCCTTCATAGCTGTTTCCAGGTCTGCGCTGTTGCTTACAATAAAAGGAAAGTATTAAAAACTGCTCTTTAATCTCAGCACTTGTTATGTACAATATCTCAGTAACTTTTAAAATGCAATTTAATTAAAAAAACCCATCTTATTCCTGAAACAAGATTTGTTAAAGGAATCATTTTTAATTTTGTCATAAATATTTGATCATTAGATTTAATCATAGGCAGATATATCATCAAGTCACTGTCTCAGTCCTCTTAATGACCCAATCAATACCTTAGAAATCCTCAACATTGAAAATAGACTTATCTTAAACTCTATTCCAATTACAGTGTGTCCTTACAGTGTAAGGTTTAAATCCTATCTTGGGGGGGAAAATAACCAGCTTCAGAAAAAGTTAGTTTAACAGTTATTGTTCCAACTTTCCTTTAACTCATTATAAATTTATAAGCATCCTACAGGTGTATTGCATAAATTTGATTCTTCTTAAAGTTTCCCAACTCCTATTCTTGTAAATCTTTTTCAAATATCTTTACTAAAGTATATCCCTGGTGAACCAAAAGCACATTTAATCCCATGAAGCAAGCTAACTTTGACACTTACCTGTCAAAAGCTAGATGCATTCTTCCAATGTCCTGGAAGTCTTATATATCAGAGCAAACATATAGGGATGAGCCAATCAGCCCAAAGGTTAGACAAAGTCAACAGTGACAACCTATGAAATCAAACTTTCCTCATTTATTGGAAGAGGGCCCAGATGACTAGACTTAGGCAACATCTGGAAAACACTTCCATTAAGAAAAATGACTACTACAAATAAATTTAGATTTATTGGCCAAAACACACTTCTAATTTCTAAGTGAGTGGACAAATTGTTCTGAGATGGTTAATCACTCTGGCAGCTTTGACCTATGTATCAAAGCAGCAGCTTTGAAATAGTCAAGTGGTGGGATCATTTCTTTCTTTCTTTCTTTCTCTCGCTTTCTTTCCCTTTCTCTCCCTCCCTCCCCCTCTCCCTCCCTCCCTCCCCCTCTCCCTCCCCCCTCTTTCTTCCTCCGTCGTCCACCCTCCCTCTACCTCCCTCCCTCCCTTCCCTCTCTTTCTCTCTCCCTCCCTCCCTTCCTTCTTTCTGTCCTATCTTCCTTCCTTCCTTTCCGTTTCTTTTCCAGTTAAATCTAGCAAAGAGTGATTTTGAAACTTGTCCGGTGTTAGTGTGTGGTATAAATTTTGATAATATATACCATTAAATTAAATGTACATTCCTTTTCTTGAGTATTTGTATTTTTACTGAGCACAGAAAACTTCCAATTATCTACAGGTGTATTATCCACACTGTGGACTTTCCAGCTTCTTTTACTATGGAAAAACCTGTATTGATGTCTCAGCCCCTTATTCAAGCCCAGCATTGGTTAGAAAATATTTTTGTTTTCCTCCCTTTCCACAGAGAACATGTGAATCATTAAATCAGCTCATCTTGACTTTACCTCTGTTCAAATGCTACCTACCATTAAGGCCTAGCTTATGTCCTAACCTCTTTGAAACCTTCCACACTCAATCCAAGCCACATCCAGAATTACAGTCAACAAATGTACTATGTTTTATTGAAATTTTCTGTTTCCTGTCTCCTCACTTCCCCCCAACAGACTTTGTTGGGTTTTTTTCCCCTCCCCCAATATGTGTTTACTTATTTAACTTGCTGTTGTGATTTGGGTGAAAATTTATAGAGCAGATTCATTTTCCACTTGACAGTTCATATACATTTTGTTTCGTGACATTGATTGCAATCCCTACAATGTAACAACTTTCTTCCCACTTCCTCCCTGTGGTTACCTTTTCCCTGTATCCTTCTTTTCTATGCATTTCTGCCCTTTGAGCTCTCTCCCAGAGCAAATGCTGCCCTGCTGATGTCCCATGGTTGATTGTTCTAAGGAGTGGAATTACCTGTTACAATTACTCACCTCATAGTTCTGTTTATTGTTTATCTGAAAGGTAAGCCCCAGGAGTGAGTTCAATTCCAGGCCTGAAGGGTGACTAAGGGCCATAGACTCAGGGATTTCACCAGTTTCTATTACAGACCAGTAAGCCTGGATTTTTTTTTTTTTATGATTTTTAGTTTTGTTCTACATTTTTCTCCCATTCTACCCACGATCTCCAATTTTAATCCCTTTCTGAGCAGTTGGCAGTGGTAGCTGGACACCATCTAGTTCTTCTGGTCTCAGGGTCACATAGACTGAGGTTCCCATGGTCCACTAGTCCCTTGGACTAACTATTTCTGTGCATCTTTGATTTTCTTTACTCTTGTTTGCTCCAGACAAGAAGAGACCAATTGTTGCATCTTAAATGGCCACTCACAAACTTTTAAGACTCCAGTCACTACTCACCAAAGTAGGATGTAAAATAATGCTTTTGTGTACTGTTATTCCAATTGAGCTCCATGTCCCTGTGACCATGGTCCTGAGCCCACAGGCCCAGCAACTCACTTCCTCAAAGTGTTTGGTTGTGGCTAAGAAGTTATCATAACTTTGCCCCCTGTTAGTTCTATTATATATATAGACATTTTAATAGCACACATAAATAAATATGTATGTAGAAATCTTGTCTGCCAAACCTATATATGGTTATGGATATATTCCCTTTAGCCTACCCATACATGATCATCTTGCCTGCCTACCTATGGATCCATCCAGAGATTAATGTTTGTTATTACTGAAAGTGTAGTATTGTGCATGCAACAGTATTACCTTTGTTGTCTGTACCTCTTGTGCACTTCTCTATGTCTTCCTTTTCCTTCGTATTATTGTGCTGACCATACACTTCTGGTATATTGCCTTTCCCTTCACCCAAATCAATACGTGTCTGTTACCCAGCTAGCATTTTTTTCCTTCCCTACATTCCCTGGTAATCAACAAAAATATTTCCTTTCATGTGTAAACCTTTCCTTGACTTTTTGTATTAGTGGACTCACACAATATTTGTCCTTCTGTGATTGACTTATTTCGCTCAGCATAATATCCTCCAAGTTCGTCCACATTATGTGGTATTTCACAGATTCTTCATTGTTCTTTAGTGTTGTATAGTATTCCCCTCAACAGACTTTGGTTTCCCTAAGGATAACCATCACTTATGCCTTAATTTTATTGACAACATTTAATCCAGTGCTTCACAAAGTTTGTGTGTCAACAAATGCTTGTTGAACCAAACAGTTGTACCTGGATTCTATAGTATGCTATGCATTTGTTAGGTACTGCATTTAATTATCACAAAATGTCCTTGAGCTAAATATCATCATCTAGCCACATTTTACAAATAAGAAAATGAAAAATAATTGGTGACTCATCCTACAATCCATGAGGAAGAGGAGCCAGAACTAAGAGATGAACCCAGGTCTTTTTATTTTAAGTTCCATCAGGCTTCCACTATATCTAGCTTCTTTTTGATCAAAGCCATCCCATTAGTAATTACTTGTAGTATGAAATGTTAATCTTTCATATGTGCATTGGTTTACAAGGTTATGATCTTTTTAAGAATAGAGATTATAACATAGATATTCATTTGTTCCTACAATGATTATTTCTGGACTAAACATACATTACATAGAAGACAATTTAGAGGTTATCTGCTCAGCTTTAAGTAACTCCCTGGTCTCGGGAAATTATTTCCTTATCCATAGGCCTATGCTCCTGTTAGTCATGTTTTTATATATGATCTTGCCCCATCAGAGATACAGGTTATAGGATTGAGAGTAGAAACCTGAACTGAACTAGGCCAATACAATCCTCTCTCCTAGAAATTTAGAAGGCCGATTCAGAGATTTCAAAGTCTCTCTGGCTATGTAGACTTATAACATGTAAACTACTGTCCATGGGACTTAAGAAGGTGCCAGAATCCTGAAGAAAGAGATACAACTGAAGGCAGCAGCCCAGCAGAGAGAAACAGAGAAAAGGCCAATAAGTTGCTGCTAACTTTCTAAGTCTTGGTTTCTCTTTGGTCCTGAGCCTCAGATGCCTTTTGGCTCTGTATCTTTAAGGTGAACCCCCCACCCCCACCCCAACTGGGGCTGAAGCTGGCTCACTATGCTTTATGTTACTTACAATCCCTAATCAATATATAGTAGGTGTACAAAAGATACTGTTGCATGGAGTTGAACCAAATTCTCTTAGCTTTACTGAGGTCAGGAGTGGGAAGCTAGAAGCTTTGTGACTTTTCCACTCAGCCCTTTACATTGTTACTTTATCATTACTTTGAAATGTTAACAATACCTGGAATATCAGATACAAATATAACTATACACACATATTCTTATATAAAATGTAAATTGCTTTCTGATTATTGCCATTTGGATTAATGTATGCAATCATTTTCCTCCTTTGGATCCAAAACCAAAGTCACTGCCATTGAGTCGATTCTGACTCATAGCGACCCTCTTTGGTTTTCCAAGGTGGTAAATCTTTACAGAAGTAGATTGCCTAGTCTTCCTTCCATGGAGTGGCTGATGGATTTGAACTGTCAACCTTCTGGTTAGCAGTCAAATCCGTTAGGCACTACACCACCAGAGCTCATTCTCCTTTGGATGGAAGTAATGATAATGATGGCAAAAGGCATTCTTAAATTAATTGAAAAATATACTTTAATAATACTTGTTCTTAAGTCCAATATCTAGGCTTCAAAAACAAACAAAATAAAACATACACACAACTACTATGACAAATATAAGCTATAAGTGTAAACATATTTGAGTTGTCATCAAATGTATTTTCTTTTTATAATAAAGTGCAAAAGAGAATAAGAAACTTTATTGTTAAACTCATTAGATTTAACTCATTAATACCTGACTTACCTAATTTTAATGTGCAATGGAAGAGCTTTGGTTACACAGTGATTAAAACAGTTGGCTGATAACCAAGAGGTTGTACATTCAAAACCACCAGCCATTCCACAGGAAGAGGATGTGGCAGTCTGCTTCTCTAAGGATTTATAGCCTTGGAAACCCTATTGGGAAGTTCTGCTCTGTCCTT